CTCCTCAATTCTCTCGCTTATCTTCGATTGGGCGGCTGTGTGAGAGAGGACACTGATTGGGTGGCTGTGTGAGACCAAACAATGCAATTGGGCCATTGTTGGAGAAAACACTATCTATCGGATTGGGCCTAGATTGACAAAAGAGGGCCGGGATTGGCTAGGGACGGGGGAGAGCGCTCTACAATTGGCCAGCGATGATAGCAGGCTGCTTTACATACCCGTGGTCTAGAGAAAATCCTCAATACAGAAAACATGAAAGAGACCGTATTAGCATAATCTGGCCTGTTATGCATGAAGAAGGAAGGGGTAGAGGGAAAGAGAGAGAGGAGAGATAAGGAGGGGGGGGGGGGGGGGGGGGGGTTAGAGAGAGTGGCGCGTTAGGTTAGTGTTAATGCTATCTAGAGGTAGTCAGAACTGTGTCAATTGAAGTACTTGCACTAATAAGCCTTGTCTCACAAGATGGGTATACAACTGACCAAATCAAATATATCTGTAAATTCACCCTGTATACTGAATGTTCATGTTATATCAATCAATCAATCAATTTTATTTTATATAGCCCTTCTTACATCAGCTAATATCTCGAAGTGCTGTACAGAAACCCAGCCTAAAACCCCAAACAGCTAGTAATGCAGGTGTAGAAGCACGGTGGCTAGGAAAAACTCCCTAGAAAGGCGAAAACCTAGGAAGAAACCTAGAGAGGAACCAGGCTATGAGGGGTGGCCAGTCCTCTTCTGGCTGTGCCGGGTGAAGATTATAACAGAACCATGCCAAGATGTTCAAAAATGTTCATAAGTGACAAGCATGGTCAAATAATAATCAGGAATAAATCTCAGTTGGCTTTTCATAGCCGATCATTAAGAGTTGAAAACAGCAGGTCTGGGACAGGTAGGGGTTCCATAACCGCAGGCAGAACAGTTGAAACTGGAATAGCAGCAAGGCCAGGCGGACTGGGGACAGCAAGGAGTCACCACGGCCGGTAGTCCCGACGTATGGTCCTAGGGCTCAGGTCTCTCAGTTGGCTTTTCATAGCCGATCATTAAGAGTTGAAAACAGCAGGTCTGGGACAGGTAGGGGTTTCGTAACCGCAGGCAGAACAGTTGAAACTGGAATAGCAGCAAGGCCAGGCGGACTGGGGACAGCAAGGTGTCATCATGCCCGGTAGTCCTGACGTATGGTCCTAGGGCTCAGGTTCTCAGAGAGAAAGAGAGAACGAGAGAATTAGAGAGAGCATACTTAAATTCACACAGGACACTGGATAAGACAGGAGAAGTACTCCAGGTATAACCAACTAACCCCAGCCCCCCGACACATAAACTACTGCAGCATAAATACTGGAGGCTGAGACAGGAGCGGTCCGGAGACACTGTGGCCCCATCCGAAGAAACCCCCGGACAGGGCCAAACAGGAAGGATATAACCCCACCCACTCTGCCAAAGCACAGCCCCCGCACCACTAGAGGGATATCCTCAACCACCAACTTACAATCCTGAGACAAGGCCGAGTATAGCCCACAGAGGTCTCCACCACAGCACAAACCAAGGGGGGGCGCCAACCCAGACAGGAAGATCACGTCAGTAACTCAACCCACTCAAGTGACGCACCCCTCCCAGGGACGGCATGAAAGAGCACCAGCAAGCCAGTGACTCAGCCCCTGCAACAGGGTTAGAGGCAGAGAACCCCAGTGGAGAGGGGAACCGGCCCGGCAGAGACAGCAAGGGCTGTTCGTTGCTCCAGAGCAACGAACAGACAGTAGGTCAGATAGGCGATTGTGGTAGTGATTGGGCTGGGGCATGTTTGGTCAGTGGAATTCTGGGATTTCTGGACAACGACGACGAGACACATTGGCGGGTGGCATCATCGTATCCTGTGATTCCCTCTGGCACAGCTGGAGGGGCAGGGAAGGGCCTAGTCTTAATTCCTGGGTCGCTATGGCAACAGTGACATTGGGCATCGCCAGAGAAAAGACTGAGAAAATAAGGGATTGAATGAAGAAGGAAACAGAGGGAGAGAGAGAAAGAGGGGAAGGATTGAGGATAGAAAAGCTTATCATGCTATCTTTTTCCTTAGTCTGACTTGATGACGTGGGGGAGTTGCTGCTGATTTGAAACGATGGCCTTTATGTTAAGGGACCTTAAAGTTATTGTGAACCAGATGAGCCAGATGGATGGTTCAAATTGAATCTTCTGCTTTATGACAAAGCATTTTAACATTCCTCCAAAACTCTAAGTGTAGGCCTACAGCAAATGTTGAAAAAATAATTGTACACATTGCTATAACATCTACTATCTGTTGAAGACCCCATATGAATGTATTATTTGTATTCTATTCACTTCTAACACACTTCCTTCTGCCTTTCACAGCTCTTTCGAGAGGTTCGGATAATGAAAGGTTTAAATCATCCAAACATAGGTAAGGGCCTGCATTAAGGATCTGTTGTTATACAGTGCATTCGGAAAGTATTCAGACCCCTTGACTTTTTCCACATTTTGTTACGTTACAGCCTTATTCTGAAATGGATTAAATTAATTTGTTTCCTCATCAATCTACACACAATACCCCATAATGACAGTGAAAACTGGTTTTTAGAATTTTTTGCAAATGTATTAAAAAATAACAAACAGACATACCTTATTTATATAAGTATTCAGACCCTTTGTTATGAGACTCGAAATTGAGCTCAGGTGCATACTGTTTCCATTGATCATCCTTGAGATGTTTCTACAACTTGATTGGAGTCCACCTGTGGTAAATTCAATTGATTGGACATGATTCTCTATGTAAGGTCCCACAGTTGACAGTGCATGTCAGAGCAAAAACCAAGCCATGAGGTCGAAGGAATTGTCCGTAGAGCTCCGAGACAGGATTGTGTCGAGGCACAGATCTGGGGAAGGGTACCAAAACATTTATGCTGCATTGAAGGTTCCCAATAACACAGTGGCCACCATCATTCTCAAATGGAAGAAGTTTGGAACCACCAAGACTCTTCCTTGAGCTGGCCGCCCGGCCAAACTGAGCAATCGGGGGAGAAGGCCCTTGGTCAGAGAGGTGACCAAGAACCCGATGGTCACTCTGACAGAGCTCAAGAGTTCCTCTGTGGAGATGGGAGAACATTCCAGAAGGACAACCATCTCTGCAGCACTCCACCAATCAGGCCTTTATGGTAGAGTGGCCAGAAGGAAGCCACTCCTCAGTAAAAGGCACATGACAGCCCGCTTGGAGTTTGCCAAAAGGCACCTAAAGGACTCTCAGACCATGAGAAACAAGATTTTCTGGTCTGATGAAACCAAGATTGAACTCTTTGGCCTGAATGCCAAGCGTCACATCTGGAGGAAACCTGGCACCATCTCTACAGTGAATCATGGTGGTGGCAGCATCATGCTGTGGGGATGTTTTTCAGCGGCAGGGACTGGGAGACTAGTCAGGGTCGAGGGAAAATGAACGGAGCAAAGTACAGAGTGATCCTTGATGAAAACCTGCTCCAGAGCGCTCAGGGCCTCAGACGGGGGTGAAGGTTCACCTTCCAACAGGACATCGACCCTAAGCACATAGCCAAGACAATGCAGGAGTGGCTTCGGGACGAGTCTCTGAATGTCAATGAGTGGCCCAGCCAGAGCCCGGACTTGAACCCGATCGAACATCTCTGGAGAGACCTGAAAATAGCTGTGCAGCGACGCTCCCCATCCAACCTGACAGAGCTTGAGAGGATCTGCAGAGAAGAATGGGAGAAACTCCCCAAATACAGGTGTGCCAAGCTTGTAGCGTCATACCCAAGAAGACTCGAGGCTGTAATCGCTGCCTAAGGTGCTAAGTAAAGGGTCTGAATACTTAAATAAATGTGACATTTCAGTATTTGTTATTTTATAACTTTGCTAAAATTTATAAAAACCGGTTTTGGTTTGTTATTATGGGGTATTGTGTGTAGATTGATGAAGAAAGAAAACAATTTAATCAATTTTAGAATAAGGCTGTAACTTATCAAAATGTGGAAAAAGTAAAGGGGTCTGAATACTTTCCGAATGCACTGTATGTAAGTGTGTTTGTGTGTGTGGGTGTGTGTGTGGGTGTGTGGGTGGGTGGGTGGGTGGGTGTGCATGTGTTTGTTTGTTTATGTTGATACTGTTTATGTTGTATCTATTCTATATTTTTATCAAGCATTTGTGCTAGTATGTACTCAACTGTAACACATCACTCTATGTCCATATGTAGGCTACTACAGGACTCTATATTTATGCTGTGGCCATGTTGTGTACTGTACTTGTAGTCTGCAGTCAATGTGCAGTATATGAGTCCATCTTGTTTGTATATAGTATAGTATACACTGAGTATACCAAACATTAGCAACCTTCCTACTATTGAGTTGCAGTTCTTGCTCCTGGCATCTACTACCATGCCCCGTTCAAAGGCACTTCAATATTTTGTCTTGCCCATTCACCCTCTGAATGGCACACATACAAAATCCATGTCTCAATTGTCTCAAGGCTTAAAAATCCTTCTTTATCCTGTCTCCACCCCTTCTTCTGCACTGATTGAAGTGGATTTAACAAGTCACATCAAAAAGGGATCATAGCTTTCACCTGGATTCAGCTAGTCAGTCTATGTCATGGAAAGAGCAGGTGTTCATAGTGTTTGTATACTCAGTGTAGTAGTGTGTGTAGTTTAAATGGCCCATTCCTGTCTCATCTACCCAGACGGCAGGCTTTTGTCTAGGCCCCTCACTGTGTTTAATAGACTGATACACTACACTACATTACACTACACTGCACATACAGTAGCTAGCTAGGCCCGGGGATAGAGGGTGGAGAGGGGGGTGGGGAACAGGATTTTCTAAAGCTGAAATGTCATATGAAAAAAATAAAAGAAAAAAGAATGCCATTATACTGAACCGACGTCATGCCCCACCGTATTTAGCAGGCCGAGACAGAGATGTCTGTTTTTTAACGATAGGGGATTTTATGTATTCATTATTTGTAATCTGATTTTATTTGTGCCTACTACAGTGCAGCTGTTCGAGGTGATTGAGACGGATAAGACCCTTTATCTTATCATGGAGTATGCCAGTGGAGGTGGGTGCATCTGCCTTCCTGTCTGTTTCAATAGACCTAGCTACTGTCTCTCCGTAATGGCTGATTAGCTTGTTTTTGATTAACGGGGAAAAAGTATAAATAAACCAATGGAGATGACTCAAAATCATAACCTAATGCAATGGTTGTACATTACGTACTCCTACTGTATATGTATGTAAACATAACATTATGTTGCATATTTTACCATTGGTGTTCTACGAAATGATATTATAAATGTAGGGGGGGAGTGTGGTAATAGGTTTATGGCTTATGACCGGGGTTTTAGTGGCCAGGGAGAATATTTCTACAAGCATGAAATGTCATTAGGATAATATCTAGGAGGCAGCAGGCCACAGCCCCACAGTCTCTATCATGATAACATTAGTGTTAGGTCTTTGATATTAGCTACTGGTTGAAAATACAGAATATTCTACGAGTACAATATGGAGTACAATACGAGTACAGTACGAGTATAATATGGAGCCAGGAAAGGGTTTAAGCAAGATTGAGTGTACAGTATAATACATTGAAACATATTTTGTCACATATCTCCCTCATCATCATGTTGACCACTCTTCTTTTTTTCAGGTGAAGTGTTTGACTACCTCGTATCTCATGGGAGAATGAAGGAGATTGAAGCCAGAGCCAAATTCCGGCAGGTATGACGACCACGGTGCCTCACACACCTATATGCTGTCTGTCTGTCTTTGTCTAGTTGGCTGGCTGGCTGGCTGGCTGGCTGGCTGGCCGGCCGCTAAACTTTCTATCTGTGTCTGTCTGTCCGTCTTTTCTGTCTGTCTGGCTTGCTAGCTAGCTGGCTGCCTGCTAACCTGTCTGGCTGTCTGTCTATCTGCCTGTCTGTATGTACAGTATGTCTGTGTGTCTGGTTGTCTGTCTGTCTGCTAACCTGTCTCTCTGTCCTCCAGATCGTGTCTGCTGTCCACTACTGCCACATGAAGAACATTGTCCACCGAGACTTAAAGGTGAGAATGCAGACATTTTATAGAGCTTGATTGAATAGAAATTTACATTTATATTTTTGTCATTATCCAGAGCGACTTACAGTTAGTGCATTCATCTTAAAATAGCTAGGTGGGACAACCACATATCTAGTGGCAAAAGTAAAAACTGCCGAAAATGCACAGTCAAAGAGGAGAATAATTATTGTCAAGGAAAGTTTTTAATAGAGGCATACTAAGATAAAATAAACGTGCGTGTGTAAACGATAACACATTAGTGCACCAAATGAAGACATTTATTGAAATGAGGGAAGTGAATGCTGGAATTAAACAAATAACTATGCAAATGAGGAAAAGCTGTGCACATTAAGGAAATAGACGCCTGGCTTAAATAGAAGCCTGTCTCTAATACGCAACTGTTGCGTTCAGTGATTTAAGCAAATAAACGCCCGGGCTATTAATTGAAGTTTTACAGGTATTGTGATTATTATTGGATGTTACATCTCTGAACAAAAGCAGAGACAGACAGACCGAATGTGAGTCACTTCTTCTCCCAGTGTTTCTGGTGTACTTATCTATAATATATCCTACAGCCTATAATCCTGTATGACACACTCTCCTTCTCCCCCTCCATCTCTTCCCTCCCTCCATCCCTCTCCCTCCTCTTCCCTCCATACCTGCTCGTCTTCCTCCCTCTGTCCCTCTCCTCCATGCCTTCCTCCCCCCTCCCTCCTTCTCCTTCTCCTCCTCCCCTCACCCTACCCCTATCCTCCATCCATCCCTTCTCCAGGCCGAGAATCTCCTGCTTGACGCCAACGCCAACATCAAGATCGCCGACTTCGGCTTCAGCAACGAGTTCACACTGGGCAACAAGCTGGACACGTTCTGTGGCTCTCCACCCTACGCCGCCCCGGAACTGTTCCAGGGGAAGAAGTACGACGGGCCCGAGGTGGATGTCTGGAGCCTGGGGGTCATACTGTACACGCTGGTGTCAGGGTCGCTGCCCTTCGACGGGCAGAACCTCAAGGTGTGTGTTTGTTAGAAGTGGACTTCTGGAGCCTGTGTGCTTGACGACTTGTTTTTGGTGTGTGCTTGACAATGTGTTTTTGATCTGTTGTTGACAGTGTGCGTTTGGTGTGTGTTCGGTGTGTACTTAAAGACGTGTGTGTGTGTGTGTTTGTCACTGCCCACAGGAGCTGCGTGAGCACGTCCTGAGGGGAAAGTTGCGCATGCTTTTCTACATGTCCACCGACTGACCCTAACCCTTAACCTCTGACCTTTACCTTGACCTCTCCTCTCTATTGCCCCCTATAGGAGCTTCGTGAGCGCGTCCTGAGGGGGAAGTATCGCGTGCCCTTCTACATGTCCACTGACTGTGAAGGGATCCTACGCCGGTTCCTGGTGCTCAACCCTACCAAGCGCTGCACCCTAGATGTGAGGAGGACCAACCCCCCAACACAAATGCCTGATTCACACTATAGGACCAACCCAAACCGTACTGTGCTGGCTTGGATATTTCCTTTTCACATTGTCCTTTGCTGCGTAGTTTCAGCATTATAGTGGATTCGTAACTATGCCAGCCCAGTACAGCTCGGCTTTGGCTCGGTTTGGTTTAGCTCAGTAGTGTAAAAGGGGAGTAACAGCAGTATACGTCACACACTAATAGCCCAACATATAATAAAGCACCAAACCACCATAACATGAATATCACCAACACCCCAACACACACACACACACACACCAAATCAAATCAAATATTACACACCAAATCAAATTGGAGTAATCAAGGTGACAGACAGTGACACATTTAATACCGCCTTGCACACTCTTGCCTGCATCTAACTGATCTGGGGCTTAATCATTAGTCCAAACAGTTTCAAAACATTCAGAATGAAAGGTAAACTAAGAAGAATAAAAAATATATAATTAAATATAGCTATCTCTCTCTCTGCTTCTCCTTATATTTTGAAGAAATTAATTTGTTCAAAACTTGTTCAACTATTGTTTTTCTCTCTCTTTGAGTCAACTACTTACCCCACTTCATGCACTACATTGCTAGCTAGCTGTGTTATGCTTTCAGTACTAGATTCATTCTCTGATAGGTTGGAGGACGTCCTCCGGAAGTCATCATAATTACTGTGTAAGTCTATGGAAGGGGGTGAGAACCATTGTATTGAAGTCAATGTACCCAGAGGAGGACCGAAAATAGTGTCCTCCAGCTACACAATGGTGCTACCCTGGTGAGGCTACTGTAGACCTTCATTTCAAAACAGTGTGTTTTAATCAATTATTTTGTGACGTTAATATATTTAGTATAGTTTTATCTAAAAACAATTAACTATTTTTAGGATTCTTAGGATGTTCCTCCCCTTCCTCCTCTGAGGAGCCTTCACTGACACACACACACATTCACACACACACTCACACAATCACACATACACACACACAATTTCCAACTTTAGCTACTCTCTAACATTGAATCTTGTTGTGATGCCACAGCAAGTCATGAAGGACAAGTGGATAAACGCAGGGTATGATGAGGATTCCCTGAAGCCCCATATAGAGCCTGTCGAGGACTACAGTGACGCTACTCGCATAGGTGAGCCAGCTATGACCAGGCCACTGGGTTGCTATCCACCATTTTGGCTCTAAGGACAACGTGTTACTCTTCCATTTTGGCTCTCATGGCATCTTTAGCAAGGTCACTTCATGCCGATTTGACATTCTCATGAAACACATTTCAGATATACACTACCGGTCAAAAGTTTTAGAACACCTACTCATTCAAGGGTTTTTCTTTATTTTTACTATTTTCTACATTGTAGAATAATAGTGAAGACATCAAAACTATGAAATAACACATATGGAATCATGTAGTAACCAAAAAGGTGTTAAACAAATCAAAATATATTTTATATTTGAGATTCTTCAAATAGCCACCATTTACCTTGATGACGGCTTTGCACACTCTTTGCATTCTCTCAACCAGCTTCACCTGGAATGCTTTTCCAAGTTTTGTGGGATTTTATACATATTCTCCCCAAAATGTCATACAGCAGTTAGACACGTGGACAAAGTTAACATAGTGGTGAAGAAAATTGTGACCATAAAGATTGTATTTTTTTGTTGGAAAACCTTGATTTGCTGTTCAGGATGAGGTGAAAACACATCTTATTTATTTCTAACCAGCTTCACCTGGAATGCTTTTCCAACAGTCTTGAAGGAGTTCCCACATATGCTGAGCACTTGTTGGCTGCTTTTCCTTCACTCTTCCGTCCGACTCATCCCAAACCATCTCAATTGGGTTGAGGTCGGAGGATTGTGGAGGCCAGGTCATCTGATGCAGCACTCCATCACTCTCCTTGGTAAAATAGCCCTTACACGGCCTGTTGAAAAACAAATGATAGTCCCACTAAGCACAAACCAGATGGGATGGCGTATCGCTGCAGAATGCTGTGGTAGCCATGCTGGTTAAGTGTGCCGTGAATTCTAAATCAATCACAGAGAGTGTCACCAGCAAAGCACCCCCACACCATAACACCTCCTCATCCATGCTTTTCGGTGGGAAACACACATGCAGAGATCATTACACGGCCTGTTGAAAAACAAATGATAGTCCCACTAAGCACAAAACAGATGGGATGGCGTATCGCTGCAGAATGCTGTGGTAGCCATGCTGGTTAAGTGTGCCGTGAATTCTAAATAAATCACAGAGAGTGTCACCAGCAAAGCACCCCCACACCATAACACCTCCTCTTCCATGCTTTTCGGTGGGAAACACACATGCGGAGATCATCCGTTCACCCACACCACGTCTCACAAAGACAAGGCGGTTGGAACTAAAAATCTCCAATTTGGACTCCAGACCAAAGGACAAATTTCCACCGGTCTAATGTCCATTGCTCGTGTTTCTTGGCCCAAGCAAGTCTCTTCTTCTTATTGGTGTCCTTTAGTAGTGGTTTCTTTGCAGCAATTCGACCATGAAGGCCTGATTCACATAGTCTCCTCTGAACAGTTGATGTTGATGTGTCTGTTACTTGAACTCTGTGAAGCATTTATTTGGGCTGCACTTTCTGAGGCTGGTAACTGTAATGAACTTATCCTTTGCAGCAGAGGTAACTCTGGGTCTTCCATTCCTGTGGCGGTCCTCATGAGAGCCAGTTTCATCATAGCGCTTGATGGTGTTTGCGACTGGACTTGAAGAAACTTTCATAGTTCTTGAAATGTTCCATATTGACTGACCTTCATGTCTTAAAGTAATGATGGACTGTCATTTCTCTTTGCTTATTTGACCTGTTCTTGCCATAATATGGACTTGGTATTTTACCAAATAGGGCTATCTTCTGTATACCTTGTCACAACACAACTGATTGGCTCAAACGCATTAAGAAGGAAATAAATTCCACAAATTAACTTTTAACAAGACACACCTGTTAATTTAAATGCATTCCAGGTGACTACCACATGAAGCTGGTTGAGAGAATGCCAAGATTGTGCAAAGCTGTCATCAAGGCAAAGGGTGGCTACTTTGAAGAATCTCAAATATAAAATATATTTTGATTTGTTTAACAACTTTTTGGTTACTACATGATTCCATGTGTGTTATTTCATAGTTTTGATGTCTTCACTATTATTCTGCAGTGTAGAAAATAGTAAAAATAAAGAAAAACCCTTGAATGAGTAGGTGTTCTAAAACTTTTGTATGTATCTTTAAGTCCTAGTTGAAATCTGTTCATGAAATTCAGCAGGAACATTAGCTTAACATTATTTCCAAAATGTCTGCCTTCTTTTTCCTCATCTCCCCTCATTTGTGGTCCTCAGAGGTGATGGTGGGGATGGGCTTCACTCCAGAGGAGATCAAGGACGCTCTGCTCAACCAGACGTACAACGAGGTCACCGCCACTTATCTACTGCTGGGCCTCAAGAACGAGGTGAGCTGTCTGGGCCTGGCTACCATAGGGCAGCACAAGATATCAATGCACAGCAAGCCATAGTAATCAGTATGTATGATTGATTTAGGTAAGAACGTGTTATTTTGTAAGGACATACTAAAATGTTTATTTGATGAAGAATTCTTTAGGCAAACAATAGAGGTATTTTGATATTTATACAGCCATATTATGTGAATTTGAAGTAAAACAACATACCGGTACACGGAAAGCCACAATGCTCTTGGTGGCTCCACATTCAGTCCATGCAGCTGGCTAACACCCAGGAGGTGGTTGTCTTGGTAACAGGATGGCAGCGAGTCTCGTTCGGCCAGTACCCTGTCCCTGGCACGGATCCGGCCCAGCCCCATCACCAACGGGACCAACAAACACTCCTCGGCCACTGCAGGCTCCTCTTCCTCCTCCTCCTCGCACAGCAAGACCCAGCGCAGCGCCTCCACCTATCACAGGCAGCGGCGGCACAGTGACTTCTGTGAGAGTTCTACTGTGCCTTCTACTGTACATTCTACTGCACCTTCTACTGTACGCTTTTGTCTATTCTAACCCTAACCTTTCTACTGTAGATTTCACTATACTCTACCTTCCCTCACCTGGTCTCATATCTGCCCCATATACTCAGCTCCTGTCCTGGCCGCTGACTAAGTGTGTGTGTGGATGCGTGTGCATATGTGTCTTTGTCCGTGCCTGTGTACACACGCGTGTATATGTGTGTGTGCCTGTGTGTGCACGTGTGTGTAGATGTCTCTGTGTCTGTGTGCCAGTGTTAACATGTGTGTTCGCCGCTCAGGCGGGCCCTCCATGCCGGTCATGCACCCCAAGCGGAGCCCCACCAGCACGGGTGACCGGGAGCTGCGGGAGGGGCGCATGCCACCGCGTAAGGCCAGCTGCAGCGTGATGGGCAGTCGCTCGCTGCCCCCCTCCAGCCCCATGGTCAGCAGTGCTAATAATCCCAACAAGTCAGAGATCCCCGACCGCCGCAAGGAGATGACGGCCACCACAGTGAGGAACAGTGAGGTAGGAAGGGGGGGTTAATAGGGCTGCATTTGAAATGGAACCCTATTCCTCAGTGGAGGCTGCTGAGGGGAGGACGGCTCATAATAATGGCCGGAACGGAGCAAATGGAATGGCATCAAACACATGGAAACCATGTGTTTGATACCATTCCACTGATTCCGCTCCAGCCATTACCACGTGCCCGTCCTCCCCAGTTAAGGTTCCACCAACCTCCTGTGCTGTTCCCTAAGTATTGCATTACTATACAGAGAATAGGATGCCAGGGAATGGGGTGCCATTTAGGATGCACCCTAGGAAAGATTTCTGTTTCTAGCTCTGCGTTTGAAATGGCACCCTATTCCCTAAGTCAGTGGTTACCAGCCTTTTCTGAGTCAAGATCACGTTCTGAGTCAAAATGCAAGCCAAGATCTACCTCTCAGATTTTATTTAAACATGACTTAAAAAAGCCTATGCAACATTAACCTAATAAAAACAGTTCTGTAACAGTGAGGTTTTTGCAGTAGACTATAGGCCCAATACATTATCACTGCATATTGGCTAAGCTTGAATTGCCCTGCCAATGTTGTTCTTCTCAGACCATTTTGAAATTATATTTCAAAATTTGAGGTATATTATCACACTGGTAATAGATCATCATCATCAGCTGAGTGAGCATAATAATTTGCTTTTTATTTTATTTTACTAGACTGATGGCCTGCATCTGATGGTCAGTCGGAGGGAGGGAGGGAGGGAGTTTTTCAAGTTTTTACATTGTGCTGTGTAAAAACGATCTTGGTTGCATCGAAGCTAGTGGTGAGTCTGCCGCTCACCCGACTCACTGTTCCTCCCTCCTCTGAGAAAAGGGGACACAGTTTTCCATCTGATGGCGAAACTCAAGTAGCACTGCATTATGTCTGCCTGTACCAATTCATGCTGTTACTCCTATGACCAGAGAAAGTGAAATATTCCTAGATATTAAAAAAGACACAAGCCGCTAATAATAACAACGCAAGCTTATAGAAACACTTTACTATACTCATTCATTGCAGCTGCAGTGCTGGTTGTAGCGTGAGTGGAAGTAGGGAGAACACGCATTTTATGGCTTATAAAAGTGTTGAACAAAGTGTTGGCAGTGTTGAATAACAACTTAAACATCAACTTACTCTTAAAAACAGCAGCTCTTTACTGTTTGTGTTGAGTTTCACTCTAGTCATGGTTTTAAAAGTTTTGAAATATCACAGCATCAACTTTGCTGTGTGCTCGAGGCTGTGCACACACAGTGATCTGAGATATCTGATTGGCCAGCGGTAAGCCTATAGTTGAGCTTGATTAGCTCTCTCGGCCTGCCGGGTAGGCGGAGTTCTACCTTCAGACACATGAAATGGATCAAAATGGGAATAATTTGCCTTCCCGGTGCTAGGACTGCTGAATCAAGTGCACACCGTCAACAGCGCAAAGCAAAAAAAAAAAATAGGATGGCAAAGCTTGGTTGGTGATCGCTGCCCTAAGTAGTGCATTACTATACAGAGAATAGGGTGCCAGGGAATAGGGTGCCATTTAGTAAATGGTAGCTAGCTATAAGACTCCTGTTAGTACAGATAGGTTTGTATGTAATATTTTCTGGTATATAGGCCGTGTCCGAAATCTGTCTCGCCTACTATTTACTAAAACTACATTGTGTGTACTAATCGTATATACAGTGGCTTGCAAAAGTATTCACCCCCCTTGGCATTTTTCCTATTTTGTTGCCTTACAACCTGGAATTACAATGGATTTTTTGGGGGGTTTGTATCATTTGATTTACCCCCCCCCCCCCCCCCCCCCCAAAAAAATAAAAAAAATAAATAAAAATCAATACTTTGTAGAGGCACCTTTTGCAGCAATTACAGCTGCAAGTCTCTTGGGGTATGTCTCTATAAGCTTGGCACATCTAGCCACTGGGATTTTTGTCCATTCTTCAAGGCAAAACTGCTCCAGCTCCTTCAAGTTGGATGGGTTCCACTGGTGTACAGCAATCTTTAAGTCATACCACATACTCTTTCTAGGTCTGGGCTTTGACTAGGCCATTCCCAAGACATGTAAATGTTTCCCCTTAAACCACTAGAGTGTTGCTTTAGCAGTATGCTTAGGGCCATTGTCCTGCTGGAAGGTGAACCATGATGCTGCCACCACCATGCTTCACTGTGGGGATGGTGTTCTCGGGGTGATGAGAGGTGTTGGGTTTGCGCCAGACATAGCGTTTTCCTTGATGGCCAAAAAGCTCAATTTTAGTCTCATCTGATCAGAGTACCTTCTTCCATATGTTTGGGGAGTCTTCCACATGCCTTTTGGCGAACACCAAACGTGTTTGCTTATTTTCTTCTTTAAGCAATGGCTTTTTTCTGGCCACTCTTCCGTGAAGCCCAGCTCTGTGGAGTGTACGGCTTAAAGTGGTCCTATGGACAGATACTCCAGTCTCTGCTGTGGAGCTTTGCAGCTCCTTCAGGGTTATCTTTGGTCTCTTTGTTGCCTCTCTGATTAATGCCCTCCTTGCCTGGTCCGTGAGTTTTGGTGGGCGGCCCTCTCTTGGCAGGTTTGTTGAGGTGCCATATTCTTTCCATTTTTTAATAATGGATTTAATGGTGCTCCGTGGGATGTTCAAAGTTTCGGATATTTTTTATAACCCAACCCTGATCTGTACTTCTCCACAACTTTGTCCCAGACCTGTTTGGAGAGCTCCTTCGGCTTCATGGTGCCACTTGCTTGGTGGTGCCCCTTGCTTAGTGGTGTTGCAAACTCTGGGGCCTTTTCAGAACAAGTGTATATATACTGAGATTATGTGACAGATCATGTGACACTTAGATTGCACACAAGTGGACTTTATTTAACTAATTATGTGACTTCTGGAGGTAATTGGTTGCACCAGATCTTATTTAGGGGCTTCATAGCAAAGGGGGTGAATACATATGCACGCACCACTTTTCCGTTATTAATTTTTTAAGAATTTTTTTAAACAAGTTTTTTATTTTATTTTTTTTTCTTCACCAATTTGGACTATTTTGTGTATGTCCATTACATGAAATCCAAATAAAAATCCATTTAAATTACAGGTTGTAATGCAACAAAATAGGAAAAACGCCAAGAGGGATGAATACTTTTTTGGGGGAGGTGGGTAGATCAGCTTTTCCTGTGTACTAATCTTACTACATACAATTTAGAACATACTGTTTAATTAAAATGTATGCAGTAAGCAACACATGTCAACATACAAGGCGCACGCATACTGGGAAGGCGTCATCTAATGCGCAATTGGGTTCATTCATTTTTGTGCAGTGCACCCCCTTGTTTGATTATCAGCTGTTGTCACACACAAGTGGGTCTGAATACACAATTCTCTTCCTCAAGAGTATGCACCGAAATCTTAGTCTTAGCCGAAATTAGTGTGACATCTTGGCATTTAAAACTAGAATCCTTAATTGAAGCAATAACAAAACGGTCACCCTGCCTGTATTTTGGTAAAAAGCTGATGGGGTACGATGGGGTACGGTGTAGATCATTAATTTATATGTCCAAAAATGGATGTAGCAACTAAGGAGACCAACTTTAAAGCGTTCAACATTTTCTACATTTCACTTACTATAAAAAGTTATATTTTCACATTCCCAATCAGCCAACTATTTAGAACGCAAGTACGAATATTTGGAAACAGCCATTGAGTACTCCACTTTGGTAGTATGCAGTGACAACTGGCAACTATGATAATGTCTGATTTGGACATTTGTTCTGACCCCGCCCTCTTACTTTCCCAGAACAACATCCCGGGAAGTGCCATGATCCGCCGGAACACATACGTCTGCACGGATCGCTCCAGCACCGACAGACACTCCCTGCTGCAGAATGGCAAGGAGAACAGGTAAAGGACATGGAAGGACAAGGGAGGGAGAGGAAGAGCGAGAGAGAGAGTGTCTCAAAAAGTTGTTTTTAGTTTTGTTGTTTTTTATGTCAACCATGTTATTGTGAAGCCAAAGGCAAATGTCCACTTTGTGTGGACTGTAACGTTTGTCTAACTCTAATTGCTTCTCTCCTCCAGCTCCCTGTCCCACCGCCTGCCCCCCACCTCCCCCTCCACCCTGAGCATCTCCGGGGCCGGGGCCGGGACCGGGACCGGGGCCTCCTCTTCCTCAGGCGAGCGCTGCCGTCTGACACGTGGCTCCACCATCCGGAGCACCTTTCACGGGGGCCAGTTGAGGGACCGGGGCCCGCCCGTCTACTCGGCCCCACCCACCTCCCCCACGCTGTCCCACCACGACGCCAGTCCACTCCCACACGCCCGCAGCCGCGCCACTTCCAATCTCTTTACCAAACTCACCTCCAAACTCACACGCAGGTAAGCGGTCAGCTCCGTAACAGTCACCTCCGTAACAGTCACCTACGTAACGCTCACCGCCAAATGCAGGGGATAATCACATTAGTGAGTAGTAGTAGTCACCTCTGTAAATACTCACAAGCAGGTAGTCTCGGACCAGGGTCATGTTTAGAACGGGAAACAGGGGAGGTAGGCCTCCTACTACCTGAAGTTGTAAGAAGATCACAGATTTTCATTCTCCGTTGCAAAACATTACAGGTCACCGCCCTGGGTCCTCACATTGGAAACGGCACTAAATACGTTTTTACCTTGGCCTGCTGGATCAAGAACAACCGCTTTCCTTGGATTCACCCAGCTCTCCCTGGCCTCAGCTATAATATAAACTCAGCAAAAAAAGAAACGTCCTGTCACTGTCAGCTGCGTTTATTTTCAGCAAATTTAACATGTGTAAATATTTGTATGAACATAACAAGATTCAACAACTGAGACATAAACTGAACAGGTTCCACAGACATGTGACTAACAGAAATTGAATAATGTGTCCCTGAACAAAGGGGGGGTCAAAATCAAAAGTAACAGTCAGTATCTGGTGTGGCCACCAGCTGCATTAAGTACTGCAGTGCATCTCCTCCTCATGGACTGCACCAGATTTGCCAGTTCTTGCTGTGAGATGTTACCGCACTCTTCCACCAAGGCACCTGCAAGTTCCCAGACATTTCTGGAGGGAATGGCCCTAGCCCTCACCCTCCGATCCAACAGGTCCCAGACGTGCTCAATGGAATTGAGATCCGGGCTCTTCGCTGGCCATGTCAGAACACTGACATTCCTGTCTTGCAGGAAATCAAGCACAGAACGAGCAGTATAGCTGGTGGCATTGTCATGCTGGAGGGTCATGTCAGGATGAGCCTGCAGGAAGGGTCCCACATGAGGGAGGAGGATGTCTTCCCTGTAACGCACAGCGTTGAGATTGCCTGCAATGACAACAAGCTCAGTCCGATGATGCTGTGACACACCGCCCCAGACCATGACGGACCCTCCACCTCCAAATCGATCCCGCTCCAGAGTACAGGCCTCGGTGTAACGCTCATTCCTTCGACGATAAACGCGAATCCGACCATCACCCCCGGTGAGACAAAACCGCGACTCGTCAGTGAAGAGCATTTTTTGCCAGTCCTGTCTCGTCCAGCGACGGTGGGTTTGTGCCCATAGGCAACGTTGTTGCCGGTGATGTCTGATGACTTACAACAGGCCTACAAGTCCATCCTCTCTCAGCCTATTGCAGACAGTCTGAGCACTGATGGAGGGATTGTGCGTTCCTGGTGTAACACGGGCAGTTGTTGTTGCCATCCTGTACCTGCCCCGCAGGTGTGATGTTCGGATGTACCGATCCTATGCAGGTGTTGTTACATGTGGTCTGCCACTGCGAGGACGATCAGCTGTCCGTCCTGTCTCCCTTGAGTGCTGTCTTAGGCGTCTCACAGTACGGACATTGCAATTTATTGCCCTGGCCACATCTGCAGTCCTCATGCCTCCATGCAGCATGCCTAAGGCACGTTCACGCAGATGAGCAGGGACCCTGGGCATCTTTCTTTTGGTGTTATTCAGAGTCAGTAGAAAGGCCTCTTTAGTGTCCTAAGTTTTCATAACTGTGACCTTAATTGCCCACCGTCTGTAAGCTGTTAGTGTCTTAATGACCGTTCCACAGGTGCATGTTCATTAATTGTATATGGTTTATTGAACAAGCATGGGAAACAGTATTTAAACCCTTTACAATGAAGATCTGTGAAGTTATTTGAATTTTTACGAATTATCTTTGAAAAACAGGGTCCTGAAAAAGGGACGTTTCTTTTTTTGCTGAGTTTATAATCACATACATTACATTTAATGAAGCATGTGCTTCTTCCATACCAATCAGCTACAGCTGCGCTGTTATCCACCACTCCCTTGGCCATGATTCAATTATATTATCTTTCTCCCCCTCCTCCTCGCCCCTTTCTTTTTCTATTTCTCTTTCTTGCTCTTCCTCTTCCTTTCCTTACATCAGGGTCAATCTTGACCCCTCTAAGCGCCAGGGCTCAAACAAATCAGTCTCGGGTTGTACCCTTCCCCAGGGATCAAAAACAGTTAGTAAGTTCCCATGTCTCTAGCTTCTGTTTGCCTGCATGTCTGCCTGCCTGCCTACTGGACGTGTGTGTGTGTGTGTGTATGTGTGTGTGCGCGCGCCTGTCTGACTGTGTGCCTGTTTACTTACCTATCTGTCTGCCTGTCTGTTACATACCTATTTGTCTGTCTGCATGCCTACCTGTTTGTCTATCGATGTCTTACCGACCTGTCTAATTTGCCTAGTACTTACCTGTCTGTATGCCTGCCTGTCTACCCACTTGTCTTTGTTCTGCAGCGCTCTGCTTTTTGGTTCATTCCTTTGGCATGCCCTTGTGCAGGGGTTGTCATCTATTGCCTTGGGGGTAACACTTTACTTGAATCCTGCATCATAAGGGCTACATAACACTGTCATTACAATGACGTGTCATAAACAGTTTTGACTTGCTGCAACTGACTTTACACTGTCATGACACAAACCATGAATTAGCTATGGCAGTTTTGCTAGACAATTGCCTGATCTACAGTAAACATAGTCTGTATCATCTTGACAGTGTAAAGTCAGTTGTCATAAGCTGACACCTATGACATCTGTTATGGTATTGTTATGAAAGTGTTATGTAGCCTTTATTGTACATGTGCTTCTGTTAAAATAAGTATTTGTTCCAGGGGCACCGCCGTAGTGGATAAGGTCTTCATGTGACTCAATCTACTTTGTTTAATTTTAATTTTAAATGACAGTTGATTCCCAGGCATGACGATTGTCTTTGTTGTGTGGTGGAATTAGGGTTGCAAAGGGAGGGTATATTACTGGAAACGTTCAAAGTTGACCAGTAAACTACTATACTTTTTTTGTGCATTTTATCAGATGACATCTAGTGACGTTTTTGTTACTTCAGATTATCACAGGTGTCTTAAATTATCTCTGGAACTCTGTGTGGCCTTATCACATGTAAACAGTGGTGTAGTGGAGGGTAAATGCAAGTAAACGCAGTTTACCCACCATTTCTGCTCGACAGTTTACCCACCATTTCTGCTCGACAGTTTACCCACCATTTCTGTTCGACAGTTTACCCACCTTTTGCAGAAAAATACATGCAAAGTATAGGGAGCGTAACTTTTTTTCACCGCGACCGGCGATCAGCGTTTACCCATCATTTTTTTCCCCACTACATCACTGCATGTAAAATAAATAAAATAATAATCTAAGATGATTTAAAAATTACAAATAGAATAACAAAGCTGTAAAAAATAATCCTAAATATAAACCATCAACTTAGTGAATACCATTGGTGTTTAATATGAGGGTTTCAGCATGAAATATCCTTTATATATGTTTTAAACACTTTGATTTATTTTACCATGTCAATACGTCTTTGTTGAAAAAGAAATCGGCAAACTGTTGGCAGTTGTGAAAAAAGTTGCCAGAGTTAATGGAAAATAATGCCATTGTTGATTAGATGCTTTTTAAAATAAATGTGGCTATCCACTAGAAACTCGAGGGACAATATGAACACAGATCTAAAAACATTAATACTATATACACTACCAGTCAAAAGTTAGGACGCACCTACTCATTCAAGGGTTTTTCTTTATTTTTACAGTTTTTTACATTGTAGAATAATAGTGAAGACATCAAAACTATGAAATAACACATGGAATCATGTAGTAAACCAAAAAGCGTTAAACAAATCAAAATATATTTTATATTTGAGATTTTTCAAAGTAGCCACCCTTTTACTTCACCATCTCAATTGGGTTGAGGTCAGGGGATTGTGGAGGCCGGGTCATCTGATGCAGCACTCCATCACTCTCCTTCATGGTAAAATAGCCCTTACACAGCCTGGAGGTGTGTTGGGTCACTGTCCTGTTGAAAAACAAATGATAGTCCCACTAAGCCCAAACAAGATGGGATGGTGTATCGCTGTAGAATGCTGTGGTAGCCATGCTGGTTAAGTGTGCCTTGAATTCACGGCGGTTGGAACCAAACATTTCCAATTTGGACTCCAGACCAAAGGACACATTTCCATTGGTCTAATGTCCATTGCTCGTGTTTCTTAGCCCAAGCAGGTCTCTTCTTCTAATTGGTGTCCTTTAGTAGTGGTTTCTTTGCAGCAATTCGACCATGAAGGCCTGATTTACACAGTCCCCTCTGAACAGTTGATGTTGAGATGTGTCTGTTACTTGAACTCTGTGAAGCATTTATTTGGGGCTGCAATTTCTGAGGCTGGTAACTCGAATGAACTTATCCTCTGCAGCAGAGGTAACTCTGGGTCTTCCATTCCTGTCGTGGTCCTTCTGAGAGTCAGTTTCATCATAGCGCTTGATGTTTTTTGCGACTGCACTTGAAGAAGCGTTCAAAGTTCTTGACATTTTCCGTATTGACTGACCTTCATGTCTTAAAGTAATGATGGACTGTCATTTCTCTTTGCTTAATTGAGCTGTTCTTGCCATAATATGGACTTGGTCTTTTACCAAATAGGGATATCTTCTGTATACCCCCCCCCCCCCCCCCCCCCCCCCCCCCCCCCTTGTCACAACACAACTGATTGGCTCAAACGCATTAAGAAGGAAATAAATTCCACAAATGAACTTTTAAGAAGGCACACCTGTTAATTGAAATGCATTCCAGGTGACTACCTCATGAAGCTGGTTGAGAGAATGCCAAGAGTGTGCAAAGCTGCCGTCAAGGCAAAGGGTGGCTATTTGATGAACCACATAATAATTAAATATTTATTTAACACTTTTTTGGTTACTACATGATTCCATATGTGTTATTTCATAGTTTTGATGTCTTCACTATTATTCTATAATGTAGAAAATATTAAAAATAAAGAAAAACCCTGGAATGAGTAGGTGTGTCCAAACTGGTACTATATAAAAAATAAAAAAATTATATTCAAGTATAAATTACCAAAATTACCATAGATTGCCATAGATTACCTTTTAATTACAAAAGATACAGAAGATTCCGGTAACTTTTGCTAATATCCGGTATCTTTGCAAATCTAGGTGGAATTTATAGTGATGTACAGTTGGTGTCACAGAACATTTACACTGCTGTGGATTCTCCCACCTCACCTTAAAAGACGTGGAATGCAATCACATCAGTACAGTTTACTGTTCTCAATGAACAAACACAATATTTTTTTTATTTTTATTTTTATTTCACCTTTATTTAACCAGGTAATATGAGAAGCATGGGGTTGTTTATTCATTTGTGATATTGATACAGCCTTATTATTTGACTCTGTTGTGCAAGTCAGGGCGCTCTGATACGGAGTGATATTAGTGCCAATAAAAAATGGATGTTGCACTAATATCACTCCATACTCTGACCTGTATTCATGGGTTGCACCTACCACACCCGATCACATCACACAATTGTTATCAACATTCTCAAGATGCTGTCACCATAGTGGCTCCTGAATGTCGGTGCCCAGTCATTCTGAACAGAGGCTAATGATTGTTTCGTTTTTACAAAACACTGTAGTGGCTTGTAAATATGATGACATTAATAGTAGGCAAATAATAAGTAGGAAACAACTTTGTCACCACTATGATGTTGTTAAATTTACTTTGGATAGATGGCAATGTTGTCATTAGCTAGCAAAGTACCTAGCAATGCTAATGTTAGCTTAAATCCAGTGCTCTCCCCTCACGCTTAGCTAGCTAGCTAACATTATACAGCATCTAAAGGTAATCTGACGACATCACAATGATGACAAAAGGTTTTCCTACTAATTATTTGCCTCCTTTAGAAATGTTCATTAACGGCATTGAGTAGAACGTTCACTCGGGAGTCAACCCTCAATAGAACTTTCATAACAATATTGTGACGCAACGTGCAACCGATGAATACCTGGAGGTTGTTGTCGCTGTTGTCGTTTGCTTGTCCTCACTCAATGATTTCCTTTCCTTTCTTTTTGAATGGCTTCACAGTATTGTGGATAGATGGTGACTCTCTCTGTGTACTTGGTGGACATGGAACTGCATCTCCCATAAATCACCTCTCTGATTCCCCATTTAACTGTGTGTGTGTGTTCTCTACACAGGGTCACAAATGAACCTGAGGGAATCTGCCGATCTGCGGTCACAAGGTCAGTATATGTCACAAGGTCAGTATATCCGGCAACCCTTCGTCAACTCATCTATAACCCCAACATAACCATGTTAGGTTGTTGTTATGTTTCAAACAGTAAACTTGCACACCTTAACTGAAAATGTAATCTTAGATTTAAAGAACATTTGGATCAGTGTTATTTCCTTATAGTTGCTGGTTGAAAATACAATGTACACAGAACCTTCTAATCAACAGGTTTGCATGGGCGGAAGTTTCTGCTTGCAATGGTGACATCACCATTCGGTAAATTGGTAAAGAGACCTATAACAAATAGAGTTCCAAACCTCTGCCAATAACAGCTAGTTTTCAGTTTCCCCCTCCCCACTCCTAGCAAAATTCTTGCTTGAGAAATAGTTTTTTGCTAAAATGCCATTTTTGGCAGTTTTTATTTTAAGGTACTTCATTGTTACTCAGAAATGATTGTATATTGATATAAAACGACTGCATTGGGCCTTTACTAGATTCAACCACCCATTCTCACTTTTTTTCTCCTTACCCACCCCTTTCCCTCTAAAACTCTTCTCTCCACCTTTTTCCTTTACTCTCTCACCACTCTGTCCTTTCTCCTTCTTTTTTTCTGTCCCTCTCCCTTTCTGGTCACCAGTCGCCATTTACCTGGGCATCAAAAAGCGGCCGAGCCCCGGGCCATCGGATGTGGCTGGAATCTGAGGGTACCCCGGGGGCGGCGGGACCCAGCGGAGGTGATGCTGGCTCTGCGGGAGGCGGCACGGGGCTGTGGCTGCCAGGTCCACCACGCCGGCCCCTTCCTGCTCTCCTGCACCCACGGGGCGTCCGGGGGTTGCGTGGCCTTCAAGGCAGAGGTGTGCCACCTCTCTACGGGGTGTGGCGCCTCCAACAATGAGACTTCCAACGGAGTGCGCTACACACGACTTTGGGGGGCACCGCTCACTTTCCGGGACATCGCCACGCAAATCTCAAAGGACCTCGAACTCTGAATATAATGGGGGTTGAGAAGGATGGAAAGAGAAATACAGAGAAAGAGGGACGTGGGGCTGGACTCGAGATAAAAATAAATTTGCCCCTGTCTCTTACGTGGCTATAGACCTACCCCCCCTCCACACCAGTCTCAACCTAACCTCACACCCCCATCCCCACACCACACAGACTCAAGCACCCCCAGCCCCCCCAAAATGAACCCCCCTGTCCCCCTCGCCACTACTACTGAACAGCTTCACCCACTGGATCCGGATCAGAGAGGAATCCAGCTTTAAATGTTTTACCATTAACTCCAGCCATAATGACTATTACTTTTATGATTGGTATCATTGTCGCTTTTAACGATCACCAACTCCGTACCTACATCGAAAACATTCTCGAAAACATTTCTCGTGTTTCGCCATCTTTGATGAGGCACTCTGTTTCTGCGTGTCAGTGTACATATATAGGATCTTGATTTGATCACCCTGTTGCAGGAGAACTTTCCTGCAATGCAGGGAATGTAAAACTTGTAGTGTATTTGAGGTTTAAAAAGGCTTCTGAAGTTTGTAATTTCCACTTCAAAATTTCAGACTTTATTTTCCCTTATGAAAAATTGATAAACCCATAAAACATTTCCATTAATTATAATCCACATAATAATTCACATTTCCTGTTGCTGCAGGATTATTTTCCTGCTGTAGCAAACTGGCTCAAATTAAGATCCTAAATCTATATGTGTTTTTGCTCTTTTCTCCCATTTGAACATTGATACTGATGAAGTGATTGTCCAAGGACTTGTTATCGCCTGTGGACAATATGCACAAATATGGAGACAGTTAACTCAATGATTTGACAAGCGGCATCAAAGGTTACACTGTTTTTCTATTTGTGCACAGTATGGGCGGGATTGGATTATTGGCAATGACAGAGAAGTTGACAGACACTTTGAACCAGCCAATGGGAACCTTCACATCCGTTTTCCACTGACATCATCATCATCAACTGAAAAAGGTAGTAGGTGGGGATGTTTTCTCAGACACACCATGAATCTATCTCAGTTAGTCTTACTACATATGACAAATATAAACTGGACTCACATTAGTAGTATTGTACAAACCACACACCATAATAAGCTGTTTTGTTAATGTATAATATCAGGTAGTATACACTTTGGTACATATCATACTCCATTTTAGATAGCAGCACCAATATATATACAAAACTGTGGGTTCATAGTGCTATATTTTTTCACCTTCATATCTCTTTAGCTATCTGTAGCTTTGGTTTCCTGCACACACCCTTGGAAAGTAATTCCATTGGCAAATTCCTGTTCCGGAGAAACTCTTTTAGCCCTCTGATTGGCTGGGATCAATGTCTGTGTTGGCACTGGTCATTATCAATAATCATATCAAGCCATTTTTAAGCATTTTATCCCCTACCTCTCACGGTATGATCTCTCCATTTTACCTTTCTTGAACTGTGTTGCATTCAAGTCATGAAACAGTTGCACAGTTGTTCCTCAGCATAAAATAGCCTAATTCAATGTCTAATGACTAAAAGGGTGACTGGGAAGGCAATTTCTGTTTCAATGCAAAAGCAGTTCACTGCAGCAGAATATTGTGCCCTTGAACACCACATGGCTTTGCCAAAATGCAAAGCTGTCAGGCTTCATAGTGAACGAAATTTGGAACAGACCTGGGTTGAAATACATTATTATTTAAGCATTTGTATTTGAAATACTTATTTTCTGTGAATTTGAGTATTTTCAAATACACAGCCCAAAACAACTACTTCTAGTTGGAGTATTTGAATTCCTACTTGTAAAACCAAATACTCTAACAAAAGGTATTTGAAAGTAATTTCAAATACTCTCCTAAAACTTTCCTAAAAATACTATTTGAAACTAACATTTCAAATACCCTTAAATACTCTGCCCTAAAAGTTGGGCAAAAAGAGAAAGTATTTTAGTAGTCTTTTTTTGACAATGTTTGCCACTGAAATAAGCTACATAGTTCAGAGAAACTCAATATATATATATTGAAATACAGTTAAAACTTGATCCAGATCTGTTTAGGAATAAGTCGTATTTCTTTCAATGTGATGCAATGAAATTTTGTTTGGATTCTATTCCGTGCCATGCCGATTTATCTTCAGCTATCTCTCTACATTGAAGGTGAACATCAAAATCCGTTTTTTCTGAGGTAACCGCAACCGTCCAATCCCATTCCCACTGTTACACACAGTGGTGCCTCTACTCTGACACCCTTTAGCATTTTGGCATTGGTGAACTTCAGATCAAACTGGTTTTGTCTACTGTTGATGACTGGGCTGCTGTGAGGTGTGGGGGGAGTGCATAGACACACAGTAGACAAAGGGATGTGTGACAGGGATGCTGTGTTTTCCCTCTTGCACCCCTTATGCCTACATACAGTAGATGTTCAATGTTGGAAAATAAGCTAAAAAAGGCTTCCTCACCCTCCCCCCTGATAAGAATGAATGATGTACTGTGATGTTCATGTAGGGTACAGAGACCAATATTTCTGCCTGGTTATTTACTGTTAATGCTCTCGATCTCAGTTGTGGCTTTTTGCTCATGGTGACATAACCAGTCAGAACAACGTGATCATTTAACGTTTGATCTCTTTTTTTATTTCAGTCTTCACCACAACCGTTTTTGCTGTCCCTATGTCCGTTTGTTTTTGCAATCCTCCTCTCGTTTCGTTTTTCGGAAAAACACTCCCAACTGTCATCCACTTTACAGGCACGTCGTTGAATCATCTCTTCTGAACCTCCTCAGTGCCGTTTGGTCTGCTACTCTGCCCCATGACAGGATCCCCTATAGAGGAGAGCAATACTAATCTACAACATTAAACAGCCCTCGACAGTATAGACAGATAGATTAACGGACCTGAGGAGGGTCAGTCCTATGTCCTATAACGTTGTGGTGTATATTAGCATTAGGTAATATAGACCTTGATGCACTTTGCTTTGACTTGAATCAGCTCCTTCCAGTGGAATCTCGGGCAAAGCCCACAACGAGCCACTGGAGGGTGCCAATGTCTTAAATGTGAACACTTCAATTTCTGGATATTTGCACAGGTACTTTATTTATTTTTTAGAATAATATCCTAATAAAAAAACAGCATTTATATCAGCCAGCTTATGGCTGTATAGAAAATATATGAATATAGTATATATCTTAGAGCTCAAGGTTTATTTATAGCTAGAGCAAGGGAAGTACTTCTAGTTTAAAGCAGTTTCTGTCAATGACAATGGAGAACAATACCAACCTGCAATCCTGCATGACTTCAAAGTTTGGGTTTTGGGGGGGGGGGGGGGGGGGGGGGTTGAAATTATTCATATCCATTATTCATAAAAATGCATCAGTGTTGGGACATGAATATGGACACAGAGAAATGGTACTGGGTATGAAATGGTACTGGGTATCCCCCTTATCACACGTACAAATGGCAGGTTTTTGGTCAATTGCAATGATTTCAGTCCATCTTCTATTACTTACAGGGAATTGGTTCATTGGTTCAATTTGGACAATTTTACTTCCTGAATTCTACAAATGTAACTTAAAAGGATTATCCGCTGGATCTTCAGAAATGTAATTCACAAGTCTCTGAATTTCTCTACCCGTATAACAAAATGTAAAATTCCAGATTCTAAAAACAAATTCAAATTGTGTTACAAATTCTGCAATTTTAAATTGAAGTTTCAATTCACACTATCCCTGATATACACAAATGTAAGGCAGATCTGATAGGAATGCCTTGGGTGCGTTCAAGCCATAGTAATGTCTGTTTAAGTCTTTACAGAATGAAAGTAAAGCATCTGATGAACATATCCACAGTGGCTGCTGAGGTGAAGGAAAACAATTATGGACTGACATTGTTTCCAGGTGGAATATAATACAAACCTATGAAATGCATTTAGAAAGATAGTTCAATGTGTGCTGGTAGGCCTATAAGAGACTGTCAGTGGTATAAATGGTTGTTGGACACAGTATTATGACCCCAGGGCCTCAGTATTTAAGTAATGTGCATTGTCATGCTGGAACTGTTTATTTTTTTGTGACCGTTGATGTAATATGCAATAGAGGCCAATGAAACGGATGAAGAGACACATTTTGACCTGGACGCCTAATTCTGTACACACCTTGACCCCTTCAGAAACAAACAATGTGAGATTGTGTTACCCAAAGGCTCTGGTGCTTTTGGTCTACAGAGAAAGTGAGAAACATGGAGCTGACGAGAAATTAAATTCACAGATGTTGCCATTGTTTCCCTTTGGGATTTTTTGTTCAATGGATTTCTATGTTTGCTGCATGATTGATCATTGCTTGATTCCTGCTATTGCTCTTAAAACTGATAATAACTCTGTTTGACAGTTAGGCTTGTTTGACAGTTAGGCTTTTGGAAAGCATCTTTACCTGCTACCCAGCAAACACACAACCACCACACAATGCTATATAAATGTTTACTCCAGGTTGTGAGCTTCAACGTGCCCTTAATACTTTGCAACAACACTTTGAATACTCTGTAAGTGCTACCCTGTCTTACTAACAGCACCTTTAACTATTAGTCTATTCTACACCCTACAGTGTTAAAAGGTCAATTCTATTAGAGGCAAAACATTTACACAGAGCTGGTTTTGTTTAACATTTAAAGTTTACACCCTATACTGTTAAGTCACTATTAGAGTTTACATTTAGTCTGATGGAGTTTAGTTGTAACACTTGACGCCAGTGAAGAGTAAATACAACAATAAGCAATGTTAGCCAGTAACAGAAACTCTGTAAATTGTTAGAAAGCTAACACTTTTGAAATTGTAATATTAAGTCAGTGTAGTGTGAGACAATATAACAAGAGTGATTTAACACTTGTGCAGTTATCTTGAGTGCATGACCAAGAAAGACGTCGACATCTGTATTTGTTCATGGTGATAGGTTTATTGGACCACAGTTTCAATGATAACTTTTAATGACAACCTTTAACAACCCATGTGATGCCACATCTGTCAGACAAGCCCGACTACAGATCCCAGGACGTTACCGACTGAACAGGAGAAAAGTGGGAATAAATGGCAGAAGAAAGAAAAGGAAAGGGAAAAAACAGAACGACAAAGGCGAGCGAGAGAGAGCTCAGAAGGAAAGAAGAAAATGAGCTGAGTGGTAGAGTCAAGTCTCTAGAGCGAGTGGCGGTTTCCTCTGCACGCCGGTTGGTTGGCTCGATTGCACATGACTTGACAATAGAAAAACAAAAGATAACCAACGACGTCAACAACTCTTTACTTCTGGGCGGGGATCATGCCGTCGATGGCCTCTCCCTTCTCCAGCTTCTTCTCCATCTCCACCATGAGCTTGACCCCATCCACCACCATCTGGACCTGGTCCACCTCGGAGGAGCCCAGACGGTCAGCGTTGGAGATGTCGAACACTCCACCCACGGAGGCGGTGTCCACGCCACCTGGAGAGAGCAGGGAAAAGGGGGAGAGATGCGGGTGTAAGTGTTTGTCTCAGACAATCTCTGCATCCTTACTCATACTATAAATTATCCAGATGTCAACAAAAATACAGACTCAGTGAATAGACGTCTTAACAGCTGTGGACATGGCTATTTCATAATAGCTTTCGCTCATACTAATCTCTGTTCCTTTTTACATGTTTTGTTGTAAAAGGTAAGACTCGTGATCTGTGACGAATTACAGTTGAATATATCAGCAGCTGTTCTGGATGTGTTTTTTGTTGTGCGTGTGCGTACCTGTGCCACGCTTCTGCAGACGCAGCCTGCCCAGGATCTCCTCGAACTTGGCATGTGTGCTCAGCTTGGGTAGCTTGACGTGCACGCCACCGCGCAGGCCAGTTCCCAGGTTTGATGGGCAGGTCAGCACATAGCCTAGATGCTCATTCCACATGAAGCAGTGGTTGTGCTTCTTGAAGGTCTCCTCAATCTATCAGGTCAGAGAAACTGTTCCTATAAAGTAATAAAGTATTCCTTCTAACCCCCCCCCCCCCCCCCCCCCAAATTGTAAAGTGGTTATCCCACTGGCTATAGGGTGAACGCACCAATTTGTGAGTCGCTCTGGCTAAGAGCGTCTGCTAAATGACGTAAATGTGCCCTTGAGCAAGGCACTTAACCCTAATTGCTCCTGTAAGTCGCTCTGGTTAAGAGCGTCTGCTAAATGACTAAAATGTAAAAAAATGTAAATGTAGAAACAACCATATACAGTATCAACATTCTTGTCTTTGTCTCTCAACGTTTTCATGTCATTGCAAGGTGTTACGGACGTTTTTGTGCCATGTCAATATGGCTTGAGTAGGTACCTTTCTCAGACCAACGCAGAAGCGTCTGAAGACCTCCTTCATGTTGCCGCCCTTCTCCATGGAGATGACACGAAGGTGATCCTCCTCGTTCACCCAAACCAAGAAGCTCTTCCCGTCATTGTGCCTTCAGAAAGGAGGGAGCACATATCACATGATACATTAGACACACTGAGATATAGTATATGGGTCTGAGTATTGTATGGGTCTGTGTTCTGGGTACCAGATTCCTCTTGAGTCGGGCCAGTCACGGGCCATACCAGCGCCTAACAGCAGGGGGGAGACGGGCTTGTCAAACAAGAAGTGGTCATTGATCAGCTGCTCCTGCTCGGCATCTGTCATGCCCTTCAGGGGGTAGTACTTTCCCTTGAACTCACCGTCCAGGGTGTTCAGAGCTGGAGACACAGAAAAAAATATGAAATATAATGTTCTCTCCTCCCCCCACTCTTAACAGCTAGAAGCTGTTCGCTAAGAATTCTGGACCTGTATCCACAAAGCATCTCAGAGTAGGAGTGCTGATCTAGGTTCAGGTCCTATCCATAATCATATTATTTATGGAGGAAAAAATGTATCCTAGATCACCACTTTGTTAATATGACCCTTATCTATATTTCCAATAAACTCCCTTTTGTTAGTTTTACTACCTAGCTTCATGCACAATCCTGTGTATGCATATGTAGCTATTGGTAGCTGGGAGGCTCACCCTCGACAGACAGTCTCTCCACTGCTCTGCGCTCGCCACGGCTGTTGTGGGGGGGCAGGGCGTATCCCTTGATGCTGCGGCCGGTACGCACGCGGCTGGACAGGACGTAGTTGGGGTCCAGGTCATCACCTCCCTTACACAGAGACAAGGTCACAACTGAGTTTTAGACCTGAACATTTGAAGTGGCTCAAACAAGTTTGTGATTCCCAACCTCCTATGTGTTGAAGAGATTATTCACAATTTTTCTACACTACTTTTGCTCAGCAGTACTCCTCCTATATTGAATGAAACCCATAAAACATGTCAGAGGAACGTCTCTACCTTCAGGTTCTCGAAGTTCAGGTCGGTCTTGTGCTTATCTGTGGGCTTGTATCCACTATGACGGTCTGAGATGATGGGGTCCAACAGATCCTTGAAGACCTCGTAGGACTCCTCATCACCAGCCACGCAGCCAACGGTCATGATGAAGGGGTGACCTGAGGACAGAGAGAGGAGAGGAGGGTAAGATGGCAGCACACCTACAAAGTAGGCTTACTGACTTTAATATACCACTCTGTGGTGTAAAAGATATGCAAGACTTCAAGAAAGTGTGTGATATGTAAAATGCACTACACATACAGTATTACAGGGCTCCCCAACTGGTGGCCCATCAGCCGAATCTGGCCCGCTTGTGATTTTATTTGGCCCCGCATGTTTTTTATGTTGGACATAAAAGACTGTAAAAACACCAGCAAATCAGCTCCAAGTTATTTACATTTTGGAAATTTGTTCCCAAGTATTCCCACACATAAGAGAGAAACGTGATTGTATACAAATGTAAGCAAGGTTTGAAATGATTATGTTTTAGTCAAATATATATATCTGTTTGGGCTTCTTGCGGTCAATTTGCAGTCTACAAATTATTTGCTATTATGTTCCGGCCCCCTGACCATCCGCTTCATCTAGGGTTGCAAAGGGAAGGTATTACTGGAAATGTTTGAAGCTTACCAGTAAACTACCAGAATTTTGGTAACGTTCACGTTTCTTTTTCATTTTATTTTATCAGATGACATCTAGTGGCCTTTTTGGGTACTTCAGATTATCACAGGTGTCTGTAAGTATCTCTGGACCTCTGTGTGGCCTTATCACATGTAAACACTGGTGTAATGGAGGGTAAATGTAAGTAAATGCAGTTTACCCATTTTTTTTGTTCCACTACAAACTCACGGACAATATGGACACATATATAAAAAATGCATACTATTTATGAACATTCTTTTTTAGTTTTTACCAAATTACCAAAATGTCCATAGATCGCCATAGATTACCTGTTAATTGCCAACATAACAGAAAATTCGGGTAAGTTTGGTAAATTGCTGGTAGCTTTGCAACCATAATCTAGGCTATATTATATATTGTGGTATTAGTATCTCTTAAGCAATGGCATTATGATTGATTGATGCCTAAGCTTTAGCACAGCAGGCTTCAATGGTTTTGCAGACTATTGTAGGGATACCTGCTCAGTTCTACCTTTGACAGTTGTGTGTTTGCGGTGGTTATTGTCTATCCTCAGGGGGTGTATGGGAGATGTGTGGCACTCACCAGGATTGTCGACACCGGTCTGGATGACGTCATCCAGGGTGAAGCCGGAGGGGGTCTGCTTGTCCCTCAGCTTGGCATACATGTCCTTGGTCAGCACCTTGGCCATGTGGTTGTTGTGCTTGGTGAGGTCAGGGTACTCCTCCTCAACTTTGAAGTTGAGTTTGAAGTTGTTGTGGGTGTTACCGAAAGGCATGCTTGCGTTTCTAACAGTGCAGGGGGAAAAATAACAAAATCACTTTGATCTTTAGATCTTCATTGTCCATAATTTGCACAGAACACAGCATAGTATAGACACATTAGGATCCCCTGAATGACTTTGAAACCACCAAATATAATAGTAACCTATCAAGAACGTTCCCAGACACTGACAGTGGAGGAGATTCAATAGAACAGCTGCAAAGACTAAACGGTATCCTAGTTACAAACGTCAGTCAATATCCATGTCCACTGGGTCAAGTTTCTGTTCGGAATAGATAAGGGGGAGGAGCACTTATGCATTGGATATTTTTAACACCCTCACCCCCATCCTCATAACCTCTTCAACATTCCACCCACCATATATAATCCTATCTCCAGCCCCCTTACCCCTATCTCACACTCAACCCTTCTCTTGAACACCCCTACCCTTTATTCCCTTTGTCCACTTACATACACTGAACAGAAATATAAACACAACATGTAAAGTGTTGGTCCCATGTTTCATAAGCTGAAATAAAAGATCCCAGAAATGTTCAATTTGCACAGAAAGCTTATTTCGCTCAAATTGTGTGCACAAATGTGTCTACATCCCTGTTAGTCAGCATTTCTCCTTTGCCAAGATAATCCATCCACCTGACAGGTGTGACATATCAAGAAGCTGATTAAACAGCATGATCATTACACAGCTGCACCTTGTGCTGGTGACAATAAAAGGCCACTCTAAAATGTGCAGTTTTGTCACACAACACAATGCCACAGATGTCTCAAGTTTTGAGGGAGAGTGCAATTGGCATGCTGACTGCAGGAATGTCCACCAGAGCTGTTGCCAGAGAATTGAATGTTCATTTCTCTACGATAAGCCGCCTCCAACGTCATTTTAGAGAATTTGGAAGTATGTCCAACAGGCCTCACAACCGCAGACCACGTGTAACCATGCCAGCCCAGGAACTCCACGGATCTCCAAATCCGGCTTCTTCACCTGTGGGATCGTCAGAGACCAGCCACTCGGAAAGCTGATGAAACTGTGGGTTTACACAACAAAATAATTTCTGCACAAACTGTCACAAACAATATCCTCTCCAGGGTCTTGACCTGACTGCAGTTCGGCATCGTAACCGACTTCAGTGGGAAAATGCTCACCTCCACTGGCACACTGGAGAAGTGTGCTCTTCTCTGATTAATCCTGGTTTCAACTGTACCGGGCAGATGGCAGACAGTGTGTATGGCGTTGAGTGTGCGAGCGGCTTGCTGATGTCAACGTTATGAACAGAGTGCCCCAGGGTGGCGGTGGGGTTATGGTATGGGCAGGCATAAACTACGGACAACGAACACAATTGCATTTTATTGATGGCAATTTGAATGCACAGAGATACCGTGATGAGATCCTGAGGCCCACTGTCGTACCATTCATCCGCCGCCATCACCTCATGTTTCAGCATGATAATGCACAGCCCCATGTCAGAAAGATCTGTACACAATTCCAGGAAGCTGAAAATGTCCCAGTTCTTCAATGGCTTGCATACTCAGACATGTCACCCATTGAGCATATTTGGGCTGCTCTGGATCTACGTGTACGACACCCTGTTCCAGTTCCCGCCAATATCCAGCAACTTCGCACAGCCATTGAAGAGGAGTGGGACAACATTCCACAGTCCACAATCAACAGCCTGATCAACTCTATGCCAAGGAGATGTGTCGAGCTGCATGAGGCAAATCGTGGTCACACTAGATACTGACTGGTTTTCTGATCCACACCCCTACCTTTTTAAAAAGTTATCTGTGCCCAACAGATGCATATCTGTATTCCCAGTCATGTGAAATCCATATATTACGGCCTCATGAATTTATTTCAATTGACTGATTTCCTTATAATGAACTGTAACGTAGTAAAATATTTGTTGCATGTTGTGTTTATATTTTTGTTCAGTATACATATTCACCCCATACACTACACTCACAATGCAAAGAGAACACACACATTCCCCCTTCACTTCACAATATACAGGTAACTGCCAACATAAAGGAAACACTTGAGTAAATGAGGGATACAAAGTATATTGAAAGCAAATGCTTTAACATCCCATCATGCTTAGGGTCTTGTATAAAACTGCTGGGCAGGCCCAGTTGCCCATTATTTTGGCTACAATGGCTAGAAGTAGAGGTCTCAGTGACTTTGAAAGAGGTGTGATTGTTGGCACGTTTGGCAGGAGCTTCAGTGACGAAGACTGCTCAACTTACTGATGTTTCACGATATGCCATGGCCGTTTGAGTCACCAGATCTCAACCCAATTGAACACTTATGGGAGATTCTGGAGCGGCGCCTGAGACAGCGTTTTCCACCACCATTAACAAAATACCAAATTATGGAATTTCTTGTGGAAGAATGGTGTCACATCCCTCCAATAGAGTTTGAGACCCTTGTAGAATCTATGCCAAGGTGCATTGAAGCTGTTCTGGCGGCTCGTGGTGGCCCCACGCCCTATTAAGACACTATGTTGGTGTTTCCTTTATTTTTACAGTTACCTGTAGCTCCCTACCCTACAGTGTGATCACTCAACACATTGGGTCCTATACATCAGAGAGACCCCCCTCAAGGTTTTTCATCACAATATCTTGAAACATTTAGCCATCTAGACATCATGCATGATGCAAGTTGTGAGACCTCGCCATGCATTACCTCACAATGTGTTAGTTCTTGAAGGATAATTCAATTTAACAGCCAGGATATGAATGGTATTTTAATTGTGTTCCTTAGATGCATTTGATTGGGATGGAATTGACCTCAACCTGAAAAATGGATCAAATGGACCACATTAATAATCTTGACCTAACCGTTGACACACCTGTTGCATTACACACAATGCAATCCCCCATGAACAATGTAAACTGGCAGTGTGCCATTTACACATTAGGTATTAAGTAAATGTTGCTTACATTTTAAAATGTTCACATAGTGTTGGGCTTTATCTCCAAAAGCCATTCAAAGTGTGTGACTGTTACAGTAACTGTCCCAAAGCAACTGCTGGACATTCAAAACCAGCTATCATTTTACACCTGTTCAACAGCTGTTTGTAACGCACATATCTGATTATTTAACACTTGCTTATTATCACTTTATCCACAAGAGAACCATTAGTCTACAGTACACAAAGCTAAGACCACTTTGCAACAGTTGCAATTTCAGGACATTGTTCTTGCAAAAGTTGAATTTTCACTCATCACTCCTTAAGCATTTTCATTGTCAAATGTGTCAAAATAATCTGACACGTAGCCTATTAGATATTTTCCAATATCCATTGATTTAAAACTCAAACCAATTATTTCAGAATGCCAGTGGTGTAAAGTACTTAAGTAAAAATATTTTTGGGGTATCTGTACTTTAATTTCTATTTTTAACAACTTTTACTTTTACTCCACTACATTCCTAAAGAAAATAACATACTTTTTACTCCATGCATTTTCCCTGACACCCAAAAGTACTCGTTACATTTTGAATGCTTAACAGGACAGGAAAATGGACCAATTCACACACTTATCAAGAGAACATCCTTGGTCATCCCTACTGCCTCTGATCCGGCAGACTCACTAAACACAAATGCTTCATTTGTAAATTATGTCTGAGTGTTGGAGTGTGCCCTTGACTATCCATAAATACATTTAAAAAACAAAAAAATTGTGCCATTTGGATTGCCTAATAGAAGTAATTTGTAAAAAGTATTTATTTGCAATTATATTAACTTTTGATACTTAAGTATATTTAAAACCAAATGCTTTTAGACTTTTACTCAAGTAGTATTTTACTGCGTGACTTTCACTTTTACTTCATTTTCTAGTAATGTATCTTTACTTTTATTCAAGTATGACAATTGGGTATTTTTTCCACCACTGCAGAATGCCCACTATGCATTTTCTGACCTATTTTACTTTTACATTAATTTCCATCCACCATCAAATGTTGCCAACCTGCTTGACAACTATTACTTAAGCTCAGAATCCTCTAAGTCAAAAGTAGTCCAAACCGCTACCCTGCCTCATCTCAAACCCTCAGTTTTTCGTACAACAAATGACGAGTTGGGATTTTACCTGAAGACAGACAAGAATGAAGTAACAGTCCTTGGGATCAGATTCTGTTTATCAGAGCCAAAATAGGAACCACCAAACTCTGAAGGTCTTTGCCTCAGCTTATATACCGGGCAGACGCGCAGCCATTGGCTGGCCATTTTAGTTTCTGCACCATTAGCAGTCCCGTTTGGTATGCTCTGCCCATGACAGGATCCCTTATAGGAGAACAATACTAGTCCTACAGAACACAGACATATAAGGAATCTTGTCATTCCTCCTCCTCAAACCTCACCCCTCCCCTAGGGTCACCCTTCCTCCTCAACCCTTACCCCTTTCCTAGTCAAGTTTCAAATAGGGGTTACATTGGGAATTTGGAGGTGGGGGAGCCCTTTTTTTGGACTGTAGGCTTAGATGAAAGCTCCAACAAATGGTTAAATCAGGCCAGAGCCACCTGTTGCCAGGCTCCAGCACCTTAGGTCAAAAGGAGAGATTGGTGGAGCTGAGCTCTGGTACTTTCCCGCTGGGTACACCATGACATTTCAATGTGGACAATTGGGTAATATTTGGTTGATACGTTGATCAATGAGATTACAACCTATATTCACCTTGTCAAAAAGACATCGGAAAGTTTGTTGAATTGCCCATCTGTTATCACTATGCTTTCAACCATCTAAAAGCACAACCAAATTCCAATGAAAAAAACAATGTCTGGTTTTTGGTTTAGTTGTCACTTAAATATGAATCACTGCACCTAATACCATTTAAAAGCACAGAAAGTTAAAATGGGAATACAATGTCAGATATTTTGTTTATGCATACAACAACTTAATGTGTTATCACTGTGCTTCATCTAATAGCACAACCAAATGAAATGGATTGCAATTGAGAATAGGTTACATTAAAAGTACATGGTGCAAGTAATCAATGCCATTTATTGTAAACATTTATTGTAGA